AAAAAATACCAGGAGCTGTCGAACTGATTCCGACTCACAGCGACCCCGTGTGTGTCAGGGCAGACCTGGGCTCCGCAGGGTTTTCAACGGCTGATTCTTTCGAAGTAGATCTACAGTCAGGCTTTTCTTCAGAGGTGCCTCCGGGTGAATTCCAACCGTTAACTTTTGGTTAGTAGCTGAGCATAGTAACTGTTTTACCACCCAGGCACACACTAAACCAAAAGAACCTATTGCCATGGATCCTGTTCATGGTGACTCCATGTTTGGAGAGTAGAGCTGTGCCCCAAAGGCTTTTCAAGGCTGGGACTTTTTGGAAACAGATGGCCAGGCCTTTCTTCTGAGGCACCTCTGGACTGGTTCAAACTGCCAACCTTTCAGTTAGTTCGAGAGCTTAAGTGTTTGCAACACCCAGGGACTCCAGGCACGCACACTAGGCCCGCAATAAATAAATGCTGAATGAATGCAGGAATGAATGAATGAGCGAGGGATTGTACTTGCTCCATGACCCTGGGCAAATCCCCTCTCTGAACCTCTCTCCTCATCTGTGAAATGGAGCTAAGGCTGGCATTTCCAGGAGACAGTGCAAGCCTGGAGCCTGGGCTGAGCAGCTCACAGATCGAGTGTCGTAACTGGCAGTTATTATTATTGTTATCGCTAACACCACACCGGGCTGTGAGTCAGTGGTCGGTGCGGTGGGAGGGGAGCTGCGGAGTCAGGGGAGCTGCATGCTGGAGCAGGGCTGTTTTTGTGCTTTCACCGGGGCCTATAATCACACCCGGGCAGGCAACAATAAAATCTGGAGCTGTGGATGCTTGGTTCCCGTTTTTGTTTTTTGTTTTGGCTCTTCTCGAGCCCTCTCCACTGACTGCAGCCAGATTTAGGTGGCTTAATTAATTAGCTAGTGTTTATAATGCATTAGAAGAACTTTAAAAGTGGGATGTAAGTGCCAAATATTATTCTGACTCCAGCAGAGTTCTTTCTTTCCTCCTTTCTCTTCTTTTTCTCTGCAGGTTCTGTTCTGGGAAACAGGCTTGTTAAAAATCACTCCCGGGGCTCTGGGCCTGGGGTCATCACACCAGCGTAGTTGACAACACCATTTTCTGTTGCTCCTGGCCTCCTGGCAGGGAAAGCCACTGTCAGGGGCCTGAGAGGTCTCTGGGTGATGAGGGTGATGGTGCAGGGGTCTCACATGCTGCTGGTGGGAGTGGAGATTGGAACCTCCTATAAGGTCCCAGGAGCCCTGGTGGTGCAATGGTTAAGAGCTGGGCTGCTAACCAAAAGGTTGGATCCAACAGCCACTCCTTGGAAACCCTATGGGGACACTTCTATTCTGTCCCATAGGGTTGCTATGAGTCGGAATCAAGTGGATAGCAACGGGTTTGCTTTTTTTGGTATTAAGGTGCCTGGGTGGCGCAAACGGTTTATGTGTGACTACTAACCTAAAGTTTGGCAGTTCAAACCACCCAGTGGTGCTGCAGAAGAAAGGCCTGGTGATCTCCTTCTGAAAGGTCACAGACATGAAAACCCTATGGAGCACAGTTCTTCTCTGCAGCACATGAGGTTGCCATGAGTCGGAAATGACCCGATGGCAGCAAATTATTGGGAAAGCAGTTTGGCAGGATGTACCAAAGCTGTGAAAACTGTTCACTAGCCTTTTTGGCTGGGCTGGTCCACTTCTGGGACTTCACCCGAGGACATTACCCAAATATAGAGCGTGCTGTCGGCATAACAATCTTCAAGAAGTTGGAAAACAGCCCAAGTGGCTGATAATAGGGAATGGTTAAGTGAGTTATGGCCTATCCATAATCTCATCCCCATGAAACCCATGGTAATACAGACGTTCTTACGGCATAATTTTAAACAATATTGTGATTCTGCAAATAAAACATGTTCATTGCAAAGCATTTAGAGAAAACAGAAAGCATAAAAACAAAATAATAATCTCATAAAATATCATCCAAGATAACTGCAGTCAACATTTTGATGTAGTTAAAACATAATGAGTGAAAAAAAATCAATATAAAGTCATCCCATCAGGTAATTAAGGATATGTGCAAACGTTTAGCTTCATTCATGCAGGTGTTCTTATAAAAAGGAACAATTGAGGGTAACTTAACATCCGAAGAAAGCAGGCTGGTTGATCCCATTACAGCTAATCCACATGATGGCCAAGTCTACACTCATGACAATTGGCAGTGTAGACTTACAATGATCGACGTGGAAATATGGTATGAGAATCGTGGTGGTTGCCAAGTGACATACTCAGTGTGATCCCAAACTTCTTCTTCTTTTTTTTTTTTTTAATGAATACTGGTTAGCAGCCTGAGCCCTTCACTATTTCGCCACCAGGGCTCCATAGGATATTAAGGATTAGCAGTGATTTAATTTTGAGTAGTAGATATACAAGGGATTTTGCTCTTGCTTATATTTTCTGTTTAAATAAAGTATGCGTAACTTATGTAATAAGAAAAGATGAAGGAAAAACTACTTTCAGGATGAGCAGGACTATGTAAAAACTATTGACTATTTCATACTAATAAAATATATAGATAATACAATGATAAAAGTATACATATATAATATTGTTTGTATAAAATACAAACAAAACTATATGTATAAGATGCATATAGTTTCACTTTATTTTACAAATATATATATAATATGTGCACACACGTGTATATAAACACCTGTAAGTTATTATACAAATGATAATATATTGCCTGTACTATACATGCAAATTCTTTGGATCATGAATCTAAAACTCATGGGATTTTTTCTTCTTTTCTCTTCTACTGTGGGTGTTTCTGATTTTCTAAACTGGATGAACATCAACCAATTTTGTAGAACCAAGGTTTGTTTCTGTAAAAAGGTGTACAGATAAGTGTGTTCCTTATGTGTTTATTGTTTGAATGAGCCGTCGGCAGGGATTTTGGGTTTTGCTCACTGCTACTTCCCTACCTCCTCATAGGAAGTTTAGCACA